GCCTGCTCAGAGACTGCCAGGGACTGTCTCCTTCTGTTGTTGATCTATTCACTCTTCACTCAGCAGTTAGGCTTAAGCCCCATAGGGTGACACAATTTCTCTGGGGTTAGGGCTCTTGTTTTCCCTCAGACTGTTGTTGCTCAGAGTGGAGTGGTCTATCTGAGCAGCATTAGTGCTGCCCTGTGGGTGACAACTCAGCATTAGGATCCCAGCAACTACTCTCTCAGTTCTCTCTCCAAAGCCTCTGTCCTGAGTGTCTCCTCAAGCGTCTCTAGTGCACTCTGCTCCACCTTTGCCAGGGATTACTGTCTGTGGGTGACTCCTTTGGTTGTTGATGTAGTCACTCTGCACCTAGCGGTCAGGCCTAAGCCCCATAGGGCAGCACAGAATCTCTCCTGGGCTTGGAGCTTTTTTCTTATAAGGCTGCTGCCACTCAGAGGGGAGTGGTCTGCCTGAGTAGGATGGCTGCTGCTGTATGGGTGATAACTCAGCACTGGGATCCGAGTAGCTGCTTTCTCAGTTCTCTCCCCAAAGGTTCCATCCCTAGTCTCCTCAGGTGTCTCTGACCTACTCTGCCCCTCCCTTTGCCAGATCCCAGGGTAGGTGACTACAAATGAAAATTTGTGTTGGCCCTTTAAACATCTGTGTCTCCAGCCATCTGTCTCTGGCAGAGAGCAACCCTCCACTATTGGTCAATGTTTGTTGTCTGTTTACTTTTTAGGCTCTGGTGCCCTAAGCTGGGGATCCAACCAGTTGGTTAATTACCCCACCAGTGCTGCCACCTGTTTGCACTTGGCCAGCCCTCTTGATTCACCACTGCACTCCTTACCAGACAGGTTGTACTGAAGCTGATTTTTCTGTTTTTCCCAGGTTATAAGGCTTATGTCTTGCTATTGGTCAGTGTTTATTCCTAGTGATTTCTCCACAATTTAGTTGTAATCCAGATTGGTCCTGGGAGGTGTTTACTGTGGCTTTCTTTCACTCATCTGCCATCTTGAGCCTCCTATTTTTAGTCTTTATTTTATTTCTACTCTGAAAATTTGGGTTTTGTTTGTTTTTCTTTTTCTAGTTCCTTAGGTGAAAAGTTAGTAACTTGGGATACTTTGAGTTTCTTTTTGTAGGCCTGTATAGCGATTAACTTCCCTCTTAGTCCTGCTTTTGCTGCTTCCCATAAACTTTTGAAAGTTTTGTTTTCATTTGTCTCCAGGTATTTTAGATTACCACTTTGATCCAGTTGTTGTTTGATGTCATGGTATTTAACCTACATGAATTTCTGTTTTTCAGTTTTCTTCATGCATTTGATTTCTGGTTTCGTGCCATTGTGGTGAGCAAATATGCTTGATGTAATTTGTTTTATTGAATTTATTGAGACTTGTTTTGTGGCCTAATATGTGCTGTATCCTCAAGAATGGTCCATGTGCACTGGAAAAAAAGTATAATATGCCCTTTGGGGACTAAATGTTCTGTAAATGGCTATTAACTTACTTTATTCTGATGTGTTATTTAAGGCCATTGTGTCCTTTACGAAATTTTTGTCTGGATGATCTACCCATTGAGGTAAGTAGGGGTATTAAGGTCCCCAGCCAACTATTATAGTATTACTGTTAACTTCTGCCTTTATGTCAATTAATATTTAATTTATATACTTAGGTGCTTCTATATTGGGTATGTCGATATTTAGAATTGTTATATCCTCTTCTTGGATTGACAGTTTATCATTATGTAACATCTGCCTTTGTCTTTTTTATATTTTTTGTCTTCAAGTTAATTTTGTGCGACATGAGTATTGCTATCCCAGTTTTCATTTCACTTCTACTTGCATGTAATATCTTTTGCCATACCTCCACTTTTCAGTCTGTGTCTTTCAATCTAAAGCAAGTCTCTTTTAGTTGGCATAGAGACAGGTCTTTTTTTATTCTACTCCATTCTGCCACCTAATGTTATTTGAGTGGAGCATTTAGTCCATTTACACTTAATTATTTATAACCATGTGCTTCTTGACATTTTGTTAATTGGGTTTTTTTTGTTTCTTTTTGTGTTCTTGTCTTTTTCTTCTCTTTATCTCTAATGTGCTGGTTTACTTCAGTGTTTTGTTTGGGTTTCTTTCTCTTTATTTTTCTCAGTATTTTTATAGGTTTTTGTTTTGTGGTTACCATGAGTTGAAGATTTTATGTGTGTGTGTGTGTGTGTGTGTGTGTGTGTGTGTGTGTGTGTACACTCTCTCTCTCTCGTCTATTTATAGCAATCATTTTAAGCTGATAGGCTTTTAAGTTCAGACACATTCTAAAAGCACTGCACTTTTACTCCATACTCTAGTCTTTGTTTTTGACGTTTTGTTTTTTTGTGTATGTAATGACTATTGTAAGTTAATTTTACTACTTTTGTCTTTTAACTTTCACATTTGCTTAAGTGGTTGATTCACTGTATTTATTGTATATTTGTCTTTAGCAATGACATCTTTTTTTCTTTCCTGTATTTTCTTATATCTGGTTATGGCCTTTTTAAAATCTGCATAAGGAAGACCCTTTAGCTTTTACCAGTGTGGCTCAATGGATTGGGTGTCATCCCACAAGGCAAAAGGTTGCTAGTTCAAACCCTGGTCAGGGCACATGCCTGGGTTGCAGGTTCCGTCCCGAGTCAGGGCTTATATGAAATCATCTGATAGATGTTTCTCTTTCACATTGACATGTCTGTCCCTTTCTTTCTCCCTCTCTTCACTTCTCTCTAAAAAATAAAATCTTTGGAGAAGACCCTTTAATGTTTCTTGTAAAGCTGATCAAGTGGTGGTTAACTCTTTTGGGTTTTGCTTGTCTGGGAAATTCTTTCTCCTTCAGCTCTGAATAATGATCTGCCAGTATAGTATTCTAGGTTATAGATTCCTTTCTTTCTGCACTTTATATGTTTTCTGCTAGTCCCTTCTACCCTGTAAAGTTCCTGTTAGGAAATCAGATTATATCTTTTTTGGTTCTCTTTTATTTGACTGCTGTTTCCTTCTTGCTGCCTCCAAGATTGTCTTTCTATCCTTAACTTTTGTCATTTTAATTACAATATGTCTTAGTGTGGGCCTCTTTAGGTTCATCTTTTTTGGAACTATCTGCCTTGTGGTTCTGGATATCCCTTTTCTTCCCTAGATTAGGAAACTTTTCAGCCATTATGTTTTCAGATGTCTCCTGCCTCTTTTTCTGTCTCTTCTTCTGTAACCCTTAAGATGTGAATGTTAAAGTGCTTGATTTTGTCCCATAGGTCCCTTATACTATTTTCATTTAAAAAGTTTTTTTTAAATTTTTTTGAAATTTATTTTAGAGAGGGGGGAAGGAGGAGAAAGTGGGGAGAGAAAGAAACAAAAACACCAATTTGTTATTCCACTTATTTATGCATTCATTGGTTGCTTCTCACATGTGTACTTACTGGAGATTGACCCCTTTTGGTGTATCAGGACAACTCTCTAACCAACTAAGCTCTTGGCCAGGGCATATTAAAAATCTTTTTTTTCATTTTGCTGTTCTCATTGAGTTATTTCCACTATTTGGTCTTCTTGTTTGCTGATCTATTCTGCTGTCAGTTCCCTCTAATGCACTAGTGATTTCAGTTATTACATTCTTCATCTCCAAGTTTAAAGTATTTCTTAAAGTGTTCTGAGTTCCTCTATTCTACCCCAAAATTTGTTGAGCATCCTTATGATTATTTCTTTGAATTCTTTATCAGGTAAATTACTTATCTCCATTTCATTAGAATTTTTCTCATTCCTTCATTTGGAACATATTTTCTACCTCCCATTTTGTTTCACTTTGTGTTTATTCTTATGAGTTAGATGAAATAGTTCTCCCTCCCAATCTTGAAAAAGCAGCCTGTGTAGACTGTGCTGGATTGTTTTGGCAGGCTTGCTGTAGTCAAGTTGGGTGTGCACAGTGATTATTGCCTGGCCAGATTGTGGGGTCCTGGTGTGGCACCCTAGTCAGTGCCTGCTTCTTTGCCCTCCTGAGCTGTGTGTGGCTACCCAGTATGCCTATGGCACTCGCTGATAATTTAGTTGTCTGCTGCACAAGCTGGGTCTGACTAGGGCTGTTCTGGTGTGCACATGGCAGCACCCTACTAGTTCTGCACTTTCTCTGGACAGGGCAGCCTGTGTGCACACACTGTATCACTCAGCTAGTTCCATACTGTCTCCAGGCAGGATAGCACTGTGAGCAAATACTGCAGTTTTGCTAGTTCTGCACTCTCCAGCACCCTACTGTTCTGTACTTTTCTTGGCAGGACAGCTCTGTGAACAAATGCTGCATAATTTTGCTAACAAATGCTGCATAATTTTGCTAGCTCTGCTCCCCAGGAGGAGGAGCTCTGAATGCACAGACCACCCAGTGGGTACATGCAACAGTACCCTGATGTACCTGCTGGACCAATCTCAAGGTTGTGGGGCCACTTATATGTGTATACACTGTGGTGTCCTCCTTTTCTTGTTTGAAGTTTTTGCTGGGTTTGCACTATGGATGCCCTGCCAGTGAACCAGAGCACCTGGATAGAGATCCTGCCCACTATCCAAGTGCAAAGGAAATGTAAACAGTGGCAGTCACCAGTTCCTCCTGTCCTTGAGAGTTCCCTCAGGTCCCAGAGAGGTCTCACAGTTCCCCAGCATTCTCTATGTCTTTCTGTTTCTTGATTGTTGTGCAGAAGCAGTTCATTTGGTCCTCAGTTGTTTCTCAGGAGGAATTGCTCCAAGTATAGGTGTACATTCTCTGTGTCCCTGGGAGGGGCTACCTCAGCCTCCTCCTATGCCACTGTCTTGGACCTACCTCTTTAAAATACATCCTTAAGGAATGGCTAAGCAAGAATAAATGAGGCCTGTCCATTTTTTAGGACAAGGTATTACAGCCCTCAAGATGCTTACAGGCTGCTTTAAACAAATGCCTGCCCTAGGTTGCAGCAGAGTAAAGCTGCTTTCTTTCCTGTCAAAGAAAAACTTTGTATCTCATTTCTTTTTTTCTTTCCTCCCCATTGCTCAGGTGAGGCGAAAGGCTTTGCAAGAAGAGATCGATCGTGAGTCAGGCAAAACAGAAGCTTCTGAAACCCAGAAGTGGACAGTAAGTTTGATGCTGAAGCTCTTTGAGATCGTGCACTTAGTATCCTAGACCCTACCCTTCTCCTGGAGCATGAGGAGCCGAGTGACAGTAAAGTCTGCCCCAGCCTGGGAGCTAGCTCCCTCACTGCCAGAGCTTGCCCCGAGTTAATTTCTTTCATCCTGGTCTGCATGACTTCAGTCATAGTTTGGGGAGCTGCATATCTTGCTTCTCCTTCAGACACTGGAAGGAATGGGGACTTTTCTTAGGCCACTGATCCGAGGGGCTCTCTTGTACTTTCTTTAACATGAGTGATTCATGCATGGGTGGTAGAATGCTCTGGACAGGAATCAGAACCCTAAGTTTCTGGTCTGGCTCAGTCTCTGGCTTGGCTCTGTGACCCTTCTCTGGGCTTCTATTACCTTCCTGCTATAAAATGTGATGCTTCTTAGAAGAGAAGTGCATTTCAAACTGCCATCTGCTCTCTTCCACCATCAGCTGACAGAAACCTTAGGCTGATAAATGGGCTGGCCAGCTGGTGAGGTGAGGTGTACTATGCTATTTGCCATGAATTAGAGGAAATGGAGTAAGGCAGACAGCTCAGAGTGTGAAAGATGCACTCTGGTGTTGGCTATGCTTGAGATGCAATTCTGTTGGGGGTCACTAAATTAGGCTTGTGCCTATTAAGCTGCAAATCTCCATTTCCTTATCAGTAAAATGAGAGTAATAACAGTACAAGGGGGGACCCCCCCAAAACAGTACTTACCCCCAAAATTGTGTATTCTTACATGTTTAAACTTCAGTCACCTATCAAATCTTTTTTTTTTCTCTCCACTGCTAAAATCAGTTTTTGAACTCATCAATTTTAATGCCTTTTAGTGCTTTCTTGGTATCACCTCTTCCACACCAACAAAATGTTTCCCTTTGAGGACATTTTTCATCCAGGGTAAAAAAGGGTTGTTCAGGGCTATACTGGGGGAATAGGATGGGTAGGGCATGGGGGATTATGCCATTTCTAGTCAAAATCTGCTAAACACTCAATGCAGTGTGGGTAGGTGCATTCGTAAATCACCCATCATGAAATTGGCAAACATGGTGAGTCTTAAAAAAAATTCACTGAAGTCAAATGTAGCCTTTCACAATACTGTGTTTCTAGAACACTTACCTAACAGGGGAAGCCTATACAACAAGGGGCCTGCCCTCTGGAAGATAATTCTGGTTTTTTTGTTTTTTTTTGGGGGGGGGGTCCCCTTAGGACTCATAGGACTTTTGTTAGAATAAAGAAGATTGATGTGTTGATGAGTACAGCACCTGGTACATAGAGAGCACTTAATCATCTGGATCCTCCCTGTGCTACTGGGGTTAGGGAAAGGAAAGGGCTTGCTCATTTGAAAATGTGGAAAATAACTCCTTTTTTTCTCATTAATTAACACAGGGAACTCAGTTTGGTCAATGGGATACTGCTGGTCTTGACAATAAGAAACAGAAACTGAAGTTTCTCAAACTTATGGATGGCCTTAAAAATCTGTCCCCTTCATTCACCCACACCCCTGACATGATTGGAAGGCCCAACATGGCACTCAACAGGAAGGCAGCCAACACCCTGCAGCAAAGCCTGCAGCAGGACTACGACTGGGCCATGAGCTGGAAGTACAGCTCAGGCACTGGCCTTGACTTCACTACCACCCCAAATAAGATCTTTTATATTGACAGAAATGCTTCCAAGTCAATCAAGTTTGAAGATTAAACTCTACACTATCTTATCTCCCAAGTTAAAATTGTTGTTATTATTCAGTTATGCAAATGAAAGCTTTGTGATAGTTGTCTGAAAACGAACTACTACAAAGATAAAGGGGTGGGGGCATTTTATGTTTCAGGAGCCAATACAGTATGTGAGTGGGTAAAAACCAGTTTTCTGTGTTAAGCCTTTCATCCCAATTTGAAAACATTATGTATAAGGCAGGACCCTCATAAAACCAGAATTTATTTATAAAAAATTGCATATTTATGCTTACATGTTTAACTTCAGTCACCTTCAAAGTACTGTCCATTTGATGCAATATACCTATTGAGATTTTTTTCCCCACTGCTCAAAAATTTCTGAACTCATTGATTTTGATGCCTTTTAGTGCTTCTACCATTTTTTGTTTCACCTATTTCACATCAGCAAAACATTTACCTTTGAAGACCTTTTTCATCTGAGGGAACAAGAGAAAGTCGCTCAGGGCAAGATCGGGTGAATAGGGAGGGTGGAGCACCAAGGGACATGCCATCTTGCTCAAAAACTGTTGAACATTCAGTGCAGGGTGGGCAGGTGCACTCATAAATCACCCATCATGAAATGGGCAAATGTGTTGAAAGAGTCTTAAAAAAAAATCACTGAAGCCAAACGCAGCCTCTCACCAGCTGGTACACTGACATAGATGGGTTCCTAGAACAGTGGGGGAAGCCTATACCACAAGGGGCCCACCCTCCAAAAGATAATACCAGTTTTTTTAGCCCCCCCATATAAATAATATTCGTTGAGTACATAGTACATGCCATAAGTATACCAATGTTTTACTTGCATTAATATTTTAAAGAATGAAACAGGTGCTGTTGTTATCCCCATCTTACAGATGAGGAAACTGAGGTTCAGGGATGAATAACTTGCCCTGGATCATCTAGCTAATAAGTGCAGTGTGTTATATACTTTTATACCTCAAGCCCTATACTAATGTTCACTGCTATAAATATACCTCCCTCCATTGGAATTTCTCCTAGAATACTCACTGGAGTATTATATAAAAGACTTCTGATTGAAGTAACAGAAGTCTCAAACAGGAGGTGGAATTAGTGATGAACAGAAATAACAAACTCACTTTCCTTTCCAATCTTGGAATAGCTGCAGGCAGATAATCATCTTGAATTGCCACCAAGCAAATATGGCTGAGGAATCAGTTGCTGGGAAATGTGTTTCAAAACCAATCTTGTCCAGCTACCTGCCTTCCAACTCCAGTGGTGAGCCTGGATTTACTGCTTTTGCTTTTACTGAATTCTGAACAAGGCATTTTTGAGAGTGGTTAGTCCAGGAACCAATAGCAAATTCCCAGGGATGTGTTTAATAGATTCTTTTCCATCATGGAGAAGGAATCCCAAGTGATTTGGTAGAGGTCCAATGCCAGGAGGCACAGACTGGTGGGGATGACCCCAGAAGTTGCCTCATCAGCTGTGCAGTGTTCCCAAGCCTGAGCACTAGAGTCAGCCTCATAGAGCTCCAGGTTACTAGGGTAGTAACCCTGTGGCTAGGGTTACTACCCTAGTGACATGTGACTGCCTTCTCTCCATTCACCTAGCATTTTGCTTCTCAAAATACATGATTGGGAAATTTCCGTGTCACTTGGCTTGAATGCCTCCTACAGATATCTTGTCTCAGGAAGGCCTAAACAACCAGGAGATACAGTCTCAGATGGCAGGAAGTCCCAATGTAGAGACTCTTCCTTTCTTCTCCATCATTAGTGGTGGCTTCATCAGGCTGGTGAAGAGATGGCTATAGCAATTCCAGGCAGCTTATCAAGATACTAAAATATTCCAGAGGAAGAAAAACCTTGTGGCTCACAGAAACTTCCAGAAGTCCCCCAAGATACACTCATGAACCAGTCCCTGACACATGGAAGATTCTCCTCAGGCCAGTAAGCAAGAAGTGAGGAACAGATGTTTGTGAGACAAATGTGGGCAGAGGTGAGGCAGGCCTACCAGGACCCTAACCACTGCCAGGCCAGGAGTCCTACTAATCTGTACTAGTAATGCCTCGAGTGGGCCAGTTCTCTCAGGATGTGAATTTGGCCTTTCATGGATTCAGCCTTGAGATAGATAATGGAAGAGGCCACACAAATGCTTAGAATGTTAGATTCTGAATTAGAGTTAGCTTTGGGGCACCTCCTTTGACAGAGGACTAAGACTTCTTGCCTTGATCAATACTACAGTGTTTCACTTCATGTAAAACAGGGGTCCCCAACCTCCAGGCCACAGACTGGTATCGGTCTGGGCCTGTTAGGAACCCGACCGCACAGTAGGAAACTCTTGAATCATCCTGAAACTATCCCTACCTCCTCATCTGTGGAAAAACTATCTTCCATGAAACTGTGTTTCCGGTGCCAAAAAGGTTGGAGACCACTGGTGTAACAGGAAACCAACTGACTGCTCTAATGGTTTTTATCTTGCAAGAGATCACACTGCTTTGGGACTGCTTCATATGGAAGGATTATGGCTAGCCATCCCTTGGGTGATTCTGAGACAGGATGATGGATTAGTCTTATCCCCATAGTGATAGCTTTCATTAGGGTGTGATGGTATAAATAGTCTAATAGGATTTGACTTTTGAATTCACTCTATCAGCAATGACTGAAGAGGAAAGTTGCTCAGTAAAGTTTATTGAATTCTGTGCCTTAAACAGGAAGTTTGGGCAGCCAAGATAGCAAAATAACACTGTGTCCTCAGATTTAACTTAACCTTGTTTGTACAGACTGCCATTGCTTACATGAGTAGGTCTGTGTCTTGCAACAGTCTGAGGTCATAGGTGGACTTCCTTTCTGACCTGGTGTTAGCTAGGTTCCTGTCCTTTGTGAATTAAACCATATTGACTTTAGCCACCCCTGTCTCTCTTGCCCAGTACACTCCTCCAACTGCAAGTTTTTGGGGGGATTTCCATGTTGTTCTTCATTTCTTGACTCTCAACCGGTCTCAATTAGAACTAGAGGGTTTTGAATTTTTGCTCAGAATTTCAGGGAGAGGGACAGGGGAGGTCTAGCCTGACCAAGGTCTTATTTTAAAGTCCTTTTATCAAACACATTGGCTGTTTTTCCCACTGACTAACCCTCCTCACAATTGCCCTTATCCAGCTGTTCCCCAAACCTCATGATTCTTAGCCACTTTATAAACTTATAACTATTCAAGATTATAGTTGGCAGAATGCCCTGCCACTCCAAAGATATGCCCATGTCCTAGTCACCAGAACCTGTGAATGTTAGGATACAAAATAAAAGGGAGTTTTAGGTAACAGAATTAAGGTTGCTAATCAGCTGACCTTAAAATGAGATTATCCTGGATTATCCAGATAAGCCCAGTCTTATCACAAAGGTCCTTTAATGTGGAAGAGGGAGACAAACTGTAGAAGACTCTACAAGCTGGTGGTGGCTTTGAAGGAGGAAAGGAACACAAGACAAGACAGGCAGCCAGGCAGCCTATAAGAACTGGAAAAGGCAGGAAATGGATTCTCCCCTGCAGCTGCCAGAAGGAACCAGCCCTGCTAATACCTTCATTTTGAAGGTAAGCCCACTGAGACCAACTGGACTTCTGGCCAGTAGAACTGTAAGGTGATAATACTGTTCTTTAAGCCACTAAGCTTGTAGTAATTTACTGATATGAAAGCAGTGAGAGAAAATGAATACAGGTCTCATGTAGAAGTTTTCCTCATTTTTACCTTAATTACTAAAATTCTTGGGTTTTTTTTAGTGTTCCATCATCTTTTGATTAGACTTCACCCCATGTAGGTTGTGGCTTTTAGGGACTGGCTAATTGAAATAGTATTGGGCTGGAGAAAACTTCACAAGAGCATGGAAAACCTAAGCCTCTGCCTGGCCAAGCTATATGATTCAGAAGCTCTTTTGGTGTATGTATACCTGATCTACTGGGGAAATCCAACTTCAGGAGAATATAAGAGTGACAAGGATTTGCTGACTCTGGCTTGGGAACTAACGCTGTTTGATGTGTTCAGCCTCACAGTAGAAGAAATTACTTTTTAAGGCACATAATTTGTGAATTTGCCAACTGTTTTATTTAAATAGTACCGTCTAGTAATAGTATTGGAAATAATTTTGTGAAATAAAGACCACTTAGCAATATTTGGTCAGTGTCACCATGCTCTCCAAATTTCTGTATGTTTTGTTCCATGAAGGGGCATTCTTCACTACCTGCTGTTCTTTAGTGGAGGTCATCTGTGTTTTCAAAAGAATTCCTTGGGGCATGAGGGGTTGTCACTATTAAATTGGACAGAAAAAAATCTACAGTACATTCTTAGTAGTAAACAGTTAAAACATCAGTTTATCTAAATTTATTTTAAAAATTATCTTAGCCACTTTTACTGAGATTAGCTGTGTGAATTGCATTTCACAAGGTAGAGAAAAATGTAATCTATGTCCAGTGACTACCTTCCAAAAGCACAATAGTTTGGGGTACTATTCATCTATAACTTGGATCCATTTTCCTGAACTAAGGGTTCTAGGCTGGGACCCCCCACCAATCAATACTAATACTTTTATTGGTTTAAAATAAAATGTCGGTGGAAATTCATCAGTGGTAAAACAAGACTCAGATTCTACCTAACTGATGGTAAAAAGTAGACAGAATCACATGCTATTTAGAATTACAGCTTCAAAGCAAGCCAGGCAAAATGTTTGGACATTCTCTTTCTCCTATATAAAGAGAATCAGAAATGATTAAATGAACAGCCATGACGATAAATATTCCTTCAAAAGGTTTATGCCATTAAAGAATATGTTCTAAGTTCAATCAAGAGCTTCTTTTTGATAGAAAAAGAAATTAACTGAGCCATCTGCCTTTTATGAATCCTCCAAGGTCTAAACTCAAATTAGAGGAAACTGGCTCTTTTCCCAATTAAAAATAAAGACACCTACCAGAAAGAAAAGTATTACCTGTATTCTGTTGCTTAGGGAACAAGATTGAATTTTAATGCACTTACAATTCCACTTTTTCACTGTCAGAA